TATTTTTTTTTTAAAGATTTTTATTGGGGAATTGGAACAGCACTGGGGAGTTGGGGGAAGGAGAACAGACAAGTTGCTGTCGTTTTTTGTTCTATAGTCTAGTTGTGGAGGACATTGCTTCACTGGCCCTAGTTAGTACCATCATTACTGCGCTCTTCCCGGGAGAGGCCGATCGATCAGTCACCGGCTTCTGGACGGCCGCTCTCTCTGGCTGCTGGCCGCTGACGCTGGCTGCTGGCTACACACGGTAGCCCATGGCAACCCACTGCAGTGGTCATTGCAACCTACACGGCGAATCACGGCAGCCCAGCTCCAGGTTGAGCTGTTGTTCAGCATCTTAGCTGTAGAGGGCAGTGTCTTTGGCCCTCATATGTGGGATCCAAACCGGGGCCCTCTGACGTCCCAAACCAGCTCTTAACCAATGCGCCACTCGGCCGGCCCTCGACCAATGTGTTATGTTTATTCTGTCTTTCACACGTAATGCCACATCCCAAGCTCTTCTCCTGTTTCTAGTTTCTGAACGTGCTTATAGCATCATAGTCCAAAATTCTCTTTAGATATCTTTCTTTTATCAAATATCTTTGATGCCAGTTATGCCAGGATTTTCATTTTATAGTAAGTATTCAAATTTGGTTATTTTAAAGGCTTCTGGAACCTTGATAGAAGTTATATTTATGTTAAGCTTGGCTTTTAAATGTCAACTTTATACATATATGAATTTTCTACTGAGATTATTTTCTTCTCTACACTTTATTTCTCAAGCCTGAAATTGGTTTTCCTTATTACATTTTAACTCAGTTGACATCTTTCACTCTCCTGAATTCATACATTTTCTCAAATTTTTTAATTTAAAAAATGTTTACTACTATTTTAAGTTTGTCGATGGTAGACATATGGTGCCATCTTGGTTTTCCCACCTCTTCTTGCTTAACCAAACCAAACCAAACCAAATCTCCATCATCCTGATACTGTCATCATCCAAACAACCTGACCTGGTCCCTGCCCTAAGGTCCATTCCAGCAAAGTGTTATGTCCATAAAAAAAAAATGCAAATCTGGCTTGAAAATTCCTTGAAGGTGATATAGCTCTTTATTTTAGGTTTTCATGAGGGAGAAGAGAAGGAGGAATCACATGGTTCAATATACAGTAAGTCTTCTTGGGGCTCCTCATTTCCTTTGTCTCTTCCCAAAGTCCTTCTTTTCTTAGCAGTTGCCTAATATTCCTCCCAGTTCTCCATTCCCCATCTTTGTTGCTTTATCTTTATTTCTTACTCTGTATCTCTCTATCCTCTCCTTCTCTCTCTGCCTCTGTTTCTCTCTCCTTAGCCACATGCTGGTCCTCTTCTCCTTCTTATTAACCTCCATACAGTTTTTTCTTGTAGAGAAATTTGATGTTTTCAGTTTCTGCCATTCTTCACTGTTCATCCATCCCAGTCAAACAAAAAAAGCCTAGCTGCACCCTTTGTCTATTTAGCACAGGCAATGGACTCTTCCTCTTTAGAAGTAGGTGGAAGGAAATTTGAAAGAATGATTGGAAACTATTAATATTTTTTTCTTTTGTCCTTGTCATATTACTCTATAGATATGCTAGCTGCTTTAGCCAGCACCAAAACATAGTGGTTTAAAC